ATTCATGTCTGTACTATTACGCGATAACTGCAAAGACTTGCTGTCTAACCGATAGGTGGAGAAAAGTTTCTACCGCAAGATTTTCCGCGTACATTATATTATGCGAGAAGCGAATGGCTTGTGTGCACCGTGCGGTCCATGCTATAAATCGAGAGGACGTTAGGTCAAAAGCGTGGAAGATATGCTGATGCGAGAGATAGTCTCCGCTTACGGCACAATGTTGTCGTCCTATTCCTCCGTATGACTGCGTTACTGACTTTTTACGAGAATTATCATTATCCTTGCGTGTGTATCTAACAGCTTCCATAACAAGAATATTTAATCATAAATATTTTTTATTCATTCACTCATTTGCATACTCTGATTATAAACAAATCTTACTTAATATCCTAATGCATTATACCTAGATGATTTAGATGTTGAGAAAGGATAAATAATAAAATGATTATTTATAGATTCTCGTGGTTGAGATAATAAATACATTTATGAAAGCATAATACGCTAAAGACCTCTAATAGGATCTGGAAAATAATTTTCTTTATAATGAAAAATCATTTAAAGTGAGATTTGCCGGTGCTTTCTTATGTGATGGCAGGTTGGTAAAAAGCATGGGACAGGTTTAGGGATCTCTCACATACGATTCCCATCCGGTAATTTAATGCCTTTAACTTGAACTTGCGCCCGCCACACACGATGGTTCATCCATGTACTTTGACAACACCTGAACAATGTTCCTCTACCTCTAAATAGTTATTCATTTATTTTGATCCTACATGCGTTGTAAGTTGCTTTTAATCCTTTGAATAAATCCTCCAAAGTTCATTTTATGTTCTCTTCTTAACAATTGTCGCTTCTTTATGGATTTAACACATCAGAGAAATGTATTATTGATAGCATTACTATTTTATTCTCGACTAGATTCATTAACTCTAATTTTTATTAAGCAGAAACTCAATTTAAGCTGAGATTTCCGTGTTACTTTTGGCATGAGAGATCACGATTTAGAAATAATTGCATGTTAAACCGTGATCCAGAACAGACTTATAGCTGATATGAAGTGGATTTCATCTTGCATCTCAACTTCTCTCGCACTAAAGTCGTTTCTTGAATATAGACGCTCGCACGATGTACCCGCGCCTCTCACGTGTAATCTAATATGTAACCAAGAACACGTGCCAAGCTCGTTACATGATTTAGCCGATTGCACTGCCGCGAACACGAGTTATAATTCATAGGAAGGTAACTAGCGGCTTGGTGCCGCACTGTACTCTCTCTCAGTTTCGTATGCAACTGAGACATTTATGTGCGGGAGAAGAGGTGATACTTTCACCATTAGTCAAGGAAAATCGTCGCAGTGTAGCCATGCAAAATTGAGAAAATTATTAAATGTTAATGACGGGTAGATTTTGCATTGCGAGGTTTAATCTTGAGTATGAATGATGGATCTGATTATTATTTTATTTCATTTTCAAGTATGTCAATTGAATAGTAATCTCATTGTCGTTGATTACTTGAGATTTATTTAATTTTTTATGTAAAAAGTAATAACTGAATTCTTTTATTTTATCATTTGATCAACAGAATAATTCTTTTCGATCAATAATAATGAATAAATCATTACACTGTAAATCCAAGTGTGCTATTTTTACGAGGTCTAATGTGTTGAATATAAGGTCACCCATTTGATTAACATTTTAGTCATTTTTTATACAATTTTAAGTCCATTAAAAGTGACGACAATGTATAACACGATAAAAACAGCATAACTTAAATTTACAGTGTATGGACTTCTTTGCTCTGTTTTATTTAATTAAACCATGGCCACATATAGGCATGATCACTTTTTAAAATATATCGTTATGTTATTGAAATATTGATAATTTGGAACTATTCTGTTCCTGCTCATTACTACCTTATTACTACAATACTAACCATTACAAAAATAATTACTAAATAATTCTGATATTATTGTCTCTTTACCATATCATTCAAGGCTTCTCAAAAATCAAGTGGGTCCTATTTAGAACTCCAAAATCAGATCAAATTAAAATTGCTAAGTACTTGCGATCTTGGATAGGAATATTGAAAAAAAATTTTCTAAAATTTTTCCTAATGTCAATGAAATAATAATTGTTTCTTTGAATTTATTCAATTACTTTTTCTTCATTTTATTTTTAAAATTATTCAAGAAAATCTCAATTTCCTTTTACATACAACCGATGAAAAAATAACAAGGAAATAAAAATTTACTTCCTTCGACAATTGATATTTTTAAACAGTTACTCATTGTTTCCATTCATAATATTAATATCAATTATTCAAATTTACTTGTAAATATTTATTAGTGTAATAAAATAAGTTAATGAAAAACAAAATAGGCGCCAGTGTGTACCGCAGTAGCATCTGATTCACATATGTCCGACAAATACCACACATACGTGTGTATCCATGCAAGTACATAACACGTAGGTCGATAATAATGCCCCCATAAATCAGCATAGCTATTGTTTTATACTGAATACTCCTCAACTACGGTGGTCCATGATACAACACTTTGTCATGCTTTTGTTGTAATTAATAACATAATAACAAGAGTCTTATTCAATCAGTTGCTCTACAAAACTCTTAAATTTTTTCTACTTCAATCAAATTATCATTTCTTCCAATACAATGTTTTATTTCTAACTTTCTTACATTATGCAAAATAACATGTTCCATTAACAGCCATTTTTATAGCCATCTTTTTACGATTACTATTTGCAATTTATGTTTAGACGAGTGATGTTTGATAGAGAACTTTACTTATGCAAAACAGTAATAATCTTGGGACGTCTAATAGTTCATTTCTTTATATAATTCCATCAAAGATCATCAGAATTAGAGTATTAAGAATAATTATTTGGAATTACAATCATTTTAAAACACTAGGAAGTGATAAACAATTTGTTTAATCATTTTATTTTTTAATAAATATTAATTTTTTACAATTAATTTAAAAAATCATAAACATAAATTAACGTTCAAAAGAATCACTCTTAAACATTTTTACCTTTCAAATCTTCTAAAAAAAAATCAAAAATATCTGTTGATGGTATTCAGTATTATTTAATCATAATATTAAATCCAAATTAGATAAATTAATTTAAAAAAATCGCAATTACTCAGCTTGATTTAATTAATTAATCAAAGCTACAATTGGAAGTCGAATAAAACAAAAATAAAATATTCGTTGATGTTTCATCGAGCGTGAGAACTGCAAAATGACTGGCAGATATTTGCAAATTATAACTTTTTAAATGCACCTGCTAAATTAATCCTACTGGGTGTATATTTACGAAGCAAGAGTCATCATCGAGTAGTTTAATGACTTCCTTCTTTCCTTATCGCGGGCGGCCACAGTGGGATTGTCTTATGGAGTTATTACAAGGCGCTCCTCTCAATATTTTGACGCAAGACGTGATCGTGTTTGGTACACTGGTGCTTGCCCACATCGAATCCACCAAGCATACACATCTAATGTGGTCGATTCCATTTCAAATGCAATCTCAGCGTATTACGGAAAATAGGAGAAATCTAGCGAAAGTAAGCGTAACATCGGTTGTTCGCATTGCACATGCTTGTACTTATTTATTTTACTATATGTAATATAATGCGATGATGTGATAGCAAATCCGGTTGTTTTAATACATCGTACCACGTATCTATATATAAATAAATACCAGCGTATGACTCAGAATCTAAAATAAAATCATTTCATTAGCAAATGTACACATTCATTAGATGTTGTTGAGATTTTTCTTATTTCCATCTAAAAACATTTATGAAGAAATAAATCTATCAATAGATCGATTAGTAATCTTACCAGGTGGTCCTTCCATTATATGCTTTAACATCATAAGAAGTGATAGTAATTATTATTACTAATCCATAGACTTTCAGTACTTCATGTATGTCCCTAGCATATAATTGTTTTAACGTTTTAATAACTATGCTTGCATGCGAGAGTGGTGTAATAAAATAGGATGTACCAACTCAGGATAATTCTCATCTTTTCTCGCTAGACAAGAACGAGTTGTTGTCATAAACCTCTCCTCCTCTGAGCACAATCTTCCATTGACACTGAGCTTAGATGCGATCTTAATTATTCCCTAGTGACACTATACTACCTTCAGTGGACGTGATTGCTACACACGCTACACAAATATTTATGGGAGATAAAATTAAATACTCAGCATACACTTGGGTTTGTAAATAGATTCATTCTCTTTTTGTCATGCTATAGAATTGATAGCGTTTTTTTTATACTCTAATTGAGGAATTAAATTGTGATTAAATTGAGTAATTATCCGGTATTGATAAAAAAAAACTTTTTCAATCATTATTAATGAACAAAAAAAAATCTAAAATTGGTTTAATTTAAGGGTATAAATTTGAAATTGAGTTTAAAAATGTCTTTAGTAAGTTGGGGAACATATTTTATTGATATTATTAGAAAACTTATAATTGGAAAGCTTTGATTACGTTGGAAAGTTACTTTCTGTAATATGTTAATGTTAAAAGCATATCATGGCAATTCATTTATTATTAATTGATTTATAAAGTTGTGAGCATGGAATTTGCAGTTATTCAAAATAAATCAATTAACATTGATCATTTATTTTTCACATTGGAAAAATTATTTAATTATTTAAGGTAAACCAATGTTTAATCAAAATAGTAGAAAAAATTTCCAATTTGTGATAAAAATTACGATATTGGAGATAAAAATCATTTCTAAAAAAGAATCAAATTTAATCAAATTCATATTATATTTTTTTTCGTGTTTTAAAATAAATAATTTTTACTCCAAATGGGGCTTTTTTACTCCTTTGTTTTATTCTAAATATGAGAGTAATTTTAATTCAGCAATCTTTTCAGTACACAAAAAAATATTTGGTATTAAATATAAGGAAGCGAATTTTTTTAATGGCATTTAATTGATTGAATTTGATTGTTTTCAGGAGGAGAACGAGCTCTCGAGCAAGCGGTGGGCCAGTGCGCCCCGCCGCCCAGACAGTCCCTGTGTTTTGGGGACTCCAACGTCTAGGGAGGTGAGTAAATGAATGACAAAAAATAAAATAAACTGATAGTTGCAACAAATTTGTATCAACTAGTGATTTTTCACACGTGAAAACGGGGCAAATCCGTTTATATAAACGGGTGTGAGATTGCCCGCGATGGAAACTAGCCGATGTTCTTGGTACGTGATGGCACCCAAATCGTAACGGCGGCATGTATGGTCCTCGGTATGATTGCTAATGGGACAGGACACGTCTTGGTTGGTAAGAAAAAGTCTCGTCCGACAGCCGAGCATGTCAACACGTTCACAAGTGATGGGGAGAGCAGAAGGACGATTAGTTCACGACACTTGTTGGTGCAAGGTGTCGATTTAGAAAATGTTAAAGGCATTTGATGAGAAAGAGTTAGACTCTAAATAAACTTGAAGTTGTGTATTTCTATATACAATGTACAGATGGACATGAAACAAAAAAATATATCCTTATACCGAAGTAAAATCCTAGAAATAGTCTGAAGCAAAAGCTTACTGATGATTTATATAAGGTCAGGATGCTTCAGTACCAACATCTATACATGACTCCACCTACAGACTGAAACGCGACGTTGAAAATGATGGGTGTGACTCGACATTCTTTATGGATATTACTTGAGGAATACGAGCGGCTTATGGCGAAGACGTAAAGCAAACTCGAATTACCACAGAGTCGAGAGAGTCAGCTTTCATACACCGTACCCAATCGATAACAGTCCAAGTCGTCCAGTGAAATTGTGCTCCGCCTTGAACACACACTCACTCACAATCGAATCCAACTCCTAGTCTGCTAATAAATTCAAACAAAGCTTACATTTATTTCAAATAAAAGTTATCATTTAATTGGACTATTGATCATTCGATAACAATTAATCAGACAAAACTATTGTGTGAGGTTTCGATGAAAGATTTTGATTAGAATAAGAGGATGACTAGCATCAATTGATAGATACATTTTGCCATCACTAAGTTCAGTGGCAACTCCGTTACCCACAGACATACTCGGTCTTCCCACGCCAATTAAACATGACTCATTAACGGCCAGAAGTAGTCAGAGATCAATGCCTGACCGAGCAGTTGCAGAGTGCAACAGACCCTTCTCCATGTAGCGGCAGCAATCGGAACTAATCTCAGTCGTTGCTTTGCTCCTCTTCGGATTGCTTCTGTTCACTTACGGCTGTAGTGGAAGATATTATATCGCCACGTACTGACGATTCGACATTATACCCAAGAGTCTCTATCTTCGTGTAGAGTGAATCTCTGGCCTCGTCAGGTTTCCAAGAAGGAAATAAGGCCGAAGGATGATAGAGTGACAGAGAAGAAAAAAGCCAACTGTAGTAATGACCTAAAGATAGAAAGAAAGAGTATAAATAGAGAGTAGGGAAGGTAGTGGCAATAGGAATCCTGGGAATACGATCGTTCTCGTCGCACCAACCAAGCTCGTTTGAAAGAGTTATTTCCTTTCTTCTTATCGCTTCGCAAAGCGTCAAAGTTCGATTTATCCTCAAAGCGATCACTCTCCCTGCGTACTCACACGTAGCGAAGGAGAATCGTAAAAGCTTCAGGTCTACCGTGCTCACTGGATGATCAGCTATCATTGAGAAGTGTTCATCGGTCACCAATGGCGACGTTCAACGATCTACGTGGGCAGATGTGAGATTAAAGAAGTCTCTTGTTCTTGCTCGAGATTGGATTTCACCTCATTGTGAGTCAACAGTTGCTGACACGCGGCTCATTCTGGATAATTGCAGTGATTGTTTACTCGACAATTTTCTATGCAATTTTTCAAAATATGTACAAATTCATGATTGTTATTATTAGTTGAGCTGAGGTGCATGTAGAGGTCATAGGGAATCGGAGTGTACCGTTCGTGGCTTAAGGTCAAGTGCCGCGTAGAGAAGGAGCAAAGGTCTACGGGGTTGAAGGATCCTCAAGACGGACGTAGAAAGTATACATGCAGCGTACACTTATCGTCGCAGACGCACCCACACAAGGTTAACATACATAGCTAAGGCGCGCAAAAGATTTCTTAGCCATTTGCTTCTTCTCTCTTTTCTCAGATTGAACCTGCGGGACCTGGCTCAATAAATATCTTCCTCCATCTTCCTCTTACGCGATCGACATTTTTCCAGTATCGTCCCAGCTATCGACCACGAATGTAACGGTAAATACTACGAGCAACTCGGCAACAATACCAACGCATCGCGCATCTTCTTGAATTCTCCTTTCCCCTCAAACTTGTGTATGCATTGGATAATTCTTTCTTTACTACGACACCAACGCGACGCCATGTGCACCACGCGCAACCTGCTGCTGCCGCTGTGTATTGCCATGAGAAGACTCCGCGGAGGAAGTAAGGCCGTAGGAAGAGGAAAACAGGAGACTTAAATTATGGCACGACCATTTTCGCGATTGCTTCCGATAGTTGGAATTCCAAAGTCGTCTGAAGAGATTCTCTTCGGCAGCCGCGGAATCCCCAAGTCTCATTCTTTGCACCTTCCTCACTCCGCAACCTCCTCCTATTTTGCTCCTTATACTCGACGACCATCGTCGTGTTCCTCTACGGGTGTCCGTTAAAGGTAAACCTTTCGACAGACTGTGGGATCAGGACGAACGAGCCGCTGCTCGTGAGTCGCCACTACTCGCCACTTACGGAGATTAGTGCACGGGCTTAAGTTCTAGGTAAGCACACTAGTCATGTGCTGAGATTGTGTACACACCTGCTACCAAAAAATTCACATCACTTGAGAATGTTATTGATTACATTGCCAGTAATACTTTTCTCTTCTTCGAACAATTATTTTATTTCTCTCTCTCCAATACAGTTGCTAATAATAAAACATCATAACCTTTAAAACAAACTATTTCAAGTCGTACTTACTATTTTATCTCATTTCAATCATTTTTTTATACACATGAATTAATTAAAAAGTGATAAAAAATCTTCTGATGTCCAGCTTTTTTTTTTTTTAAATTGAATTTAAAGCATCTCTGACGTCATCATCATCATCAAGGCAAAACAAAATAATTATTTAATGACGAGATGATAATTGAAAACAATAATAATTTTCTCCGCATCAATTGTTAACCACAATTGTAATGAAAAAAATGTAAATAAAATGATAATAGAAATGGTTCTCGTCCATAACTCCATACATTCAAGTGTCCTTAAAAGGAACAGCTATCATATTTCCTCGATTTGAATTCTTCTATGACTTGCCTTATGTTTCTTCCATTCATTTTAGATGAATGCGGTACTGCACCTTGGTCACGAGAAACGCTCTAAATCGCTAATGCTTGCGCATCTGCTGATCATTGTTGGTCCTTTGTTTTGTACGGACCGCGTGTGGGCGATCGGTCGGTATAGCTATTGTGTGTACCTCAACCGCCTCTCATTCATATATACTTCCATTTCTTTTCTGTTTTTCTTTCATCTGGTCTCATACACCGCGGGCTAAGTTCAACCCATACAGCCTAGAAAAGTAGTATCGATCGATGACATCGTCAGATGCTGGTTATTTCCATCTTGGGAATATTCTTAGACAAGAAGGTGCCGCCACACGAGTACATCGCGATCGGCGTAGTACGATAACGGGAACGACAACGTGTCCACATCGAAGTAAGCGCACGCCCTATGACCAGTCTTACTATTTCTAAGCTTTTTATTCAAACTTTTTTCTGCTAACCAACTTCCAAGACGTGCTAGTGTGATCTTACCTTGAGAATCGCACTTGGAATCGCGGGTCAAAGGTCATTCATGTATCGTAAATGCGTACGGGTTAGACTGCATCGGTTAGACACTTTAAAGAATTTTCTCTTAGAAATCGCGAGAAACGAATTACCACGTGAATGACTATTTTTATTTGCGAAATAGACGGAATTTGAGGTAATAACATTTGAGATTCTCAGAATTATTCATTAAAATAATTTAACACAATACCAATCACAATAGTCCTAATGACACTTTAACGACGAATTGTCTTTGTTCACACTTGAATAACATATTTGAACGCCTCCAGCTTGTAAGATTCCCACATTTCTTTCTCCTGTTTTTCTACATCGTCCGCAAATTTACATTTATTTCGCACGATCGTTCGCAAGGTGTGGCTACGACAGACGCGCGGCTATTCTAGGTCGTCGTCGATTCTCGGTTAGTATTATATTCACAATAGAGGGAAAAGAGTCTTCTCCCAACCTCCATCCCAACATTTCGACTCAATTCTCTCGTATTAACACTAAATCTGCTCTTTCAATAGGTACTTTTATTGATAAATAACCACTCGAGACAAACAAAATTTTTTTCAAATATTACTTTTATTTTTTCCCCATTATTTCGCTTTTGAATAAATTATTTACTAAATATTTCAAAAGAGACTGGAATTGCATCATTTTTCCATTAATATTCATCAAAATTTAGTGCAAATATTTTTGGTCTTACATTCAATGCTTTTTTATTAATAAAATATTTATTAAAAACAATTTTTTTTAATCCCATTAAATATGTTCATATTTTTTATTCAACAAAAAAAGAGATTTTAATTAATGTTTTTACTTCATGAAAACAATTTAAAATATGACATGTTCATTATTAATAAAATTATCAATTACATAACATGGTTTTAAAAAAAAAAATCCCTGCAAGAAGAAAATATTAATATTCATAACGAATTGAGTCTTGTAGAATGATCTAACATAAATTGAAATAGTAATCACCGTTGTCTGTCTTCACTAAAGACCTAAAGATCTCTTGCTGGCATTTTTCAATCAAAATAAAAAGTCATTAGAGAAGATAGTAATTGACGCAGGAGTTGGGCGAGTCTGTGAGATTTATCATTGGACGTCTTACATAGCACCGCAAGACTGCATCGAAAGATCTTCAGAGCAGTACCCCCTGCCTTGTAAACACACGCTCACCACACAATTCACCTTTGCCTGGTTGAAACATCTGGTAAACTAAGAACGAGCTTGTCACTTAGTGTGTGACTCTGTAAAACTCGACATCTAGACATTGATGACGATCATTATCCACCAAACAATTTATTAATTCAACGCTTTAGAACTGTCATTACAACTGTATTTTGTTATAATAAATATTTTATCTTTTCACCAATTCCGGTTAACGAAAATAAAGTATCGAAAATATGTAAGCATCTTTCAATTTATGTCAATTATCGTGAGATTGCCTCTTTAGATGATGATCTGGATTAACACTTGTTCATAAACAAGAAGATTATATGGATCCATGGATACAATTTACATGGCTGACACGATACAATTTACATTATCATCACCTGTGTTATAACTGACATCATTAACACACTAATTTCCCTCTAAATATTATTTCCTCGTCAAAAAGTTCTTTAATTAATTTATAGGTGTTATCATTTCATTTTTTTATTCCACATTGACGAGATAATAATTTAATAATTATCTTAAAATATCCACAACTGCCATTTATATATAATATTTTTTCTTTCACTCATCACCATCTCATATTCTTTTGGATTTTATGATCAATAAAAATTCATATCGACGATCCATTCTCTATTTTATTCAGAGATTGTAATGATAGCAACATGTGACAATCAAAATAAAATGTGATTATATTAATAACTCTATTGCTGTGGCACTTCTGGTGTATCAAAATCAGTAATAACTCAATTAACGGATTATCTGTGGCACCGTGTGGTTTCCTGTCTACCACTAATTATGAATCATTATTTTTTATTACTTCTGTGAAACGACCCCGATGCGTAAAGCAATGCGTTAAATAACAAGCAGCTATTAAAGTAATTATTCGTATGTCTACAAAAGAATTTGAGAAGCTAAATTATTTTATGCTAGTAAATATTATGTATTATTTTCTTGTAATGTCTAGTAGAATTTTGTTCTCACTTTATGGTAATAATTTATCGTCATAATTGAAATTAATTATAGTACTAGATTATACTTTAATACATATAAATTGAGTTGTCTATTTTTTTTTCCATTCTCTCAGACGTCGTTAAATCTTTAAATCTCAAACATCATTAGCACTATCATTGTTTTGATCCTACATATGCTTTTCTCACCCTGTATTTAATTTTATCTCCAGCATCAGTGAAACCAATTTATTTAGTACATTAATGCCAACATTTTTATCTTATTACATTTTATCTAGAATCAACATTTGAGTATACACATTAATTCAATAAATAATTTTCCCGCCAATTCCTATGATCAAGAATCACTTAATCAATTAGTGCATTTCAATCGTTCCATGCTAGCGACCTAAGACATAATACCTTCTTCCATTACTGAGAATTGGACGTCCGGTGCTTCCTCATCTCTATACCCAATGCACCATGGAAAATTATTCTCTTCAATAGATTTCCAAGCTTGATTTATTGATGCAATCCAACACTAGAACCTGCAACTTTCTAACCTTCGATAGGCCAATGATGAATATTGTGATTCTCCTGTGTGGATTTTCATAATGTATTATTGATAACTTCGTTCAGTACCCTAACAATTAGGAAAAAATACAAGACTTCAAGAGAGCTTGCAATATCGATGATAGAATATGATATATTACTGATGATTATATATGCAATCTATGATATGGTCATACTTTTCACCTTTGACTGATGGTTAATAATTAGGTATGCTGAGATCAACATCAATCTCATTTCTAGTGTCTTCAATTATAATATTTATGAATAAAATATCATCAATTTATTCATCTTGAACGTAAATTCTATTCAGAAGACACTCTTTTTTCTTCATCAACACTTGAAGTATCAACTTCTAAAGTTAGGAACTTGGAGTGTTGGAACAGATCAAGTGCTAGGAAGTTATTAAAAACAATAATTCGAACAAACTAGTTCTATTTGATACATTCTACATCAAGTTTTATAACACTCTAGCATGATAATTCTTTGCTCATTGTATAATTAACTTTGGAAAGAAATTTTTTTGATACTCGTTTGATTCTTCAGGAAGAGTTGATTCAAGTATGCTTCATTAATAACATGATTTAATTTCAAGTACCAACAAGATATTTCTGACCCACTAGTGGTATAAAATCGATCACGATTAATCGATTTATCAAATCAAGAGTTTTTATTATCTGACTAAAGAAATGTGAATGATATATGTTTATCGGTGGTGATATGTGATATTATAATGTCTCGAAATGAAGAATAATTTAATGGAAAGTAGACCAAGACCACAGCGATCGAACAATGTGTAAAGAGGCGGAGTTGATGGTGAAGATACGACAGGTGAAAGCAGAGGATCTACCTAATTTCATGAAGAATTTATAATTTGTATTTCGGAGTCTTTTTGACTACCGTGTTTAAAGTTATTAATTATCCATGCTATTTTGCAATCAATTTATAAAATAACTGAAAGAGAATTCTTTAATTCATCTCCATGTTGACATCAACTCCTTCAAATCCCAAGATCTCCAATTTTTTCAAGACTTATGTTTCTAAATAAAATTAAAAATTAAACATATTTATTTCTACGCTAAATGATGACACGAGAGTCATATTAAAATCAATAAGAGTAATCTATGTACCGTTAATGAACTGATAATTAGTAGCTGCCGATGGAGTATCATGTTGCGTGAGGGTCGGTGATGAAGAAAAAATTTGATTAATATCTTTGAGTTGAATTTATTTGATTCATGGTGCAAGCCCCGCCTGGTTTTCAATTGAGAAAGAGAGAAAGCACTCAAGGAAGATGTGTAATGAAATGTATATATATTGTCTATATTAAATGCTTGCGAAATGTATTAAAGAAAGTTTCGTGTATGTCAAGCTGAAAAAATAATCATCCAACAGTGCGAGTAAATACCAAGTAAATAATTAGTAAACCAAGCACAATATTATTGCATATTAATTTTATTTCATACCGGATATATTTTGGCGAAAGAATCAACTGTAAAAGAAATGATGAAAAATAAATATGTCCAGTCTGGGTTCATATGAATTGAAAAAAGAAATGAAGATTAAAAAATTTCTCTCCTCATCAGTTGGTGGTGTTCACCACCTGAATAATACTCTCTCCGTCTCAACTTGAGCATGATCAATGATATCTTTACGAGGAAAGAGATAAGTAAGTTGAGCTGTGGTGTATACTGATGAAGGGATGAGGCAAAGGGAGCAGTGAGTAAAAAAAAGAGAGATAAAATAAAGAAGGAGGAGAAGACAGCAGGGAGTGTTTGGAGCACGATAAATCCATTGCAGCTTAATACTCGGTCGTTTGATCAGGAACGGTCGATGCACCACAAATGTCTCGTTTAAAATCTGTTGAAAATGACGTCACAGGGCGTGTCTGGAACCAAAAAAATACAGGTTTAATTTTTATTGATGTCTCTGGTGAATAAAATATCATCAAGTCTTGTTAAAATGATAGTAAATGAACACATTAGTAGAGTAAAAAAGAAAAGTATTTCCATTAAATTAAAATGTCTTTAACGAGAAAATTAGCAATGAAAAAGCTTGGATTGCATGACAAACCTCTTTGGCAAACATTCGTTTGCTTTTAAGTCGTTGTAAGCGATATGGTGGAATTATACTACAGTCAGCAAAGAAGTAACGAGAGGACCAGCCAAATAAAGACGTCGTCGAACACTGTCATAAACTTTATCCTGGCTATGGGTCGTTTCTTTTGCACTGACAATACGATTTCAGTAACGAGTTACACTCACAAGTACTTAAAATGTATTTGAAATTCTCTGAAAGACAAACATAAATATTGAGGAAAAAAGTAATGAAATGAAAAAGCTGGTTTGGATTAGTTTCACTGGAAATTGGGCTGCAACTGAACAGGAAGAAATGACTTTAGGTTGGTAGGAATTGAATGAAAAATGAGTTATAATCATAAAGTACAACACGACCTTTTTATAAGATCAACGATGCGTGTGTTTAGAATTATCGAGCAGGATTGATCATGGTTGGAATAATTACTTGTTATTATGTGGATAGGCTCATTACATGTTACGCATAGTTCCTTTTTATTATGATAGATCATCAGCTTCCACTCAGGTGTTATAAATATAAACCTTACAATCTTTCAATTTTATAAATTATCCAATTCAATGTGGATGGTAATTATTGGCTTATCTTTCAAGGTGCTATTTACATTTATTGTCATAATTATTTTATACTAGTTTGCAGTAAGTGCTGAGAAAAAAATATTTCTATAAAATTCATACTGCTTCATCAACAATAAATCATGTTAATGATAATCAAAAAATCAATGACAAACAGTCTATTAATTCTAGAGAATTTAATGCTCAAAAATACTCAAATTTATTTCAAAGATATTTTTATTAAATTAATGTTAAAAAATATTTCAGAGTAGCAAACTAAATTATTCAAAACGTTTGCTCAGTTTGCTGAATACTTGAATGAAGAGGCGTCAATTGACTGAGAAAAACATCTATCGACAAGCTCTATATTTTGTAAACACGAGTCAGCTATCATACTGATCAGTAGCCTTCGGCTTCTGCAAACATTCAACAGAATGTTATAATAATATTAATGTTGCAAGATGCACCACACGACTCGATCCATTTATCCTATCATATGACAGGTGATTTTCTTGCTGACGTAGCTTAGCATTCTCACGTTTCGTCATATTATTCAAGGAAACAATAATATTCCCATCGACCAACCTCAATATTATACAGTCTCTAATCCCAAGAGCGATCACGATTCCTTATTTCTTGATACTTGGAATCACTTAGAATAGATACACCATCGACTTTACAATTAGTCTCGGTGTAAGTTAGAAATTAATTAATGTGAATTTTTCGTGATTTCATGAAATTGCAGGCGGCGGGTCCACCAGTGCAGCTAGAACCGGTGGACTTGTCGGTGAAGACTCCAGTGGTTCTGCAGGTGCCTCGTTACAGTCCAGCGGCAGCGTTAATTACTGCAGCTAGAAGGATTCCATCGCCGTCGACAACACCCACACCGCAGCCGATCTGTCCATCTACTGGTAAGTACTTAGTCTTATAAAAGTTTCCTGTAATTATTCAACAGTCGTGCGGTATTTGCAAAAAGGTCATAGGTCATGAGGGTCCAGTTTTTGCATGCATAGAATATTGATTCTCAACAGGTTAATGACACCATGACCGAAATATTTTATTGATGATGTTACCTAGGTAAAACACTATCTTGATAAAAACAGTGGTGTTAAGTTAAAAGAAAAAAAATTGAAACCATTATCTTCAAAAGGTGACTTGATGATGGAATCAATTTGAAAATATTTCCTACCTCAATTGATGATTATCATGATGATGATTCTTTTGGAGTTATGATTGCTAAAAAATTAGGAATTCCATTTATCAAGACATGTCTAAATGATGAGGCAGCTTGCGAAATGTCACACTTGATTTCACACTCGTCTCAAAGATTATATTAAATTGCAGAAGTAGATTAGAGGTCCAATTTAATCATACAGTCATGACTTTCTCCTGGTTAAGTGCATGTAGTAATTGTCTGAGTCGAGTAGATGCTGGTACATTGCTACGGATTGTAATAATTGTTCTACCACCTTGGAAAAGGTCTACAACTGTTCCGCAGTTTAAAATTCCATTTTAGAACAATTCAAGGAGAAGTAGAGCTTGGAAGATCATTGACTTGTATCGTGTAATGTACCAGTAAATTGAATTAGTTCATTGATTAAATTTTTATTGGAGATTTATTATTCCACGATGGTATAAGTCTCGGTATTTATTCACATTTCATATCTCATTCAGAAAAAATTAATAATCTATCTACCAAGAACTTTTTCCTTCTCAACAACCAGATGTCTTAAGTGTCTTGAACCATTGATAGTTGAAGTAATTTAAATAACTAATTATTATTCAACAAAGAAAAAATTTCTTTTAATAAAAAATTACAATTTTAAATCAAAGATTAAATAAATTTTATCCAAATAAATCTTTCATAGCATACTAAAATCTATTAGACAATTTTCTCTATACTAAAGGAATGTCTTATCACCAAGGTGTAGAAATCGATTAAATCTTCAGCTCCATGAGTTCAAGTTTCTCCTTTATTTAAAGGCCATTTGAATCTTCGGTATTATTCAGAACAGGTGTATAGATAAAACACCAACGAGAATGGTACAGCAGGGGCCATGATTTCCTAGTAAACTGTTGACATTCCCCAAGAGAAAACCACGTGGTAGATTCAAATGATCAAGTCTCGTGTGGATCGAGTGAGAATGCTTTGGTATCCACGTCTTCCGCTATCCTCTTCGACATTCTATTGTTTTCTTGTAAATACTCGATTCCTGCTGAAGATCAGCTGATATGAAAACTTAAACCTCGACATTGCTAATGGTCAGTGGGTGAGTACAGTATCCAGCTACTTTCGATACCTCAGCAGATGTATAAACTCAATATAAACCAGCAATTCTTCGGCTATAACTATATTGGAAATTTTCTATCGTATGTCAATACCATACGCAGTTGTAGATCGATTGACTGCCTTGTGATGTAATCGAAAATAAAGTGGCTTAATATCGGCGCCATAAACAGTCTCTGTATTGCTCAATGTGGTGTGTAGATGCATACTGTGATAAATAAAAAATGCTGTAACTGACTTTTAACATCTTCGATAAGAATATCCGAGATTTTTATTACGGCTTTTAAAAGGAAATGAAAAAATTGTCATCAAGCAAAAGCATCAAGTTTTTTATTATCAAAAAGTACTGAAAGATTTAAGTTTAATGCAATTATATAAGCAAGAATAAAACTGTATTTTTATTTGAATGAAAAATTGAAAAAGAAAAATAGATTCTTATGCTGATAATATAACTAATAGACTGGAGTTAAAATGAAATTGTTGAAACGCCATGAAGTAACAGTTGTCTGACAAGAAAATAGTCAAAGTCTTTTCTACTATTATTAATTATTTCTCCAGCATTTTTGCCCAAGTCGAGTATATCTATAGAGTAAACGTAAAAAGAAAATCAACAGGCAAGAATTCATCACATGTAGCATGGACTCTGGTGAAGTTGTCGGAGATTAATCCTGTGAGGAGGCGAGGTTCTATTCACAATGAAGGCATACGGTCCTTCCCACGAACAAACGGGAAATCCTCAGTCAGATACCTTTGTCAAGAGATAAATGTTACTTTTTAAAGTAGACTTCCAGTGAAAGCATATAGAGTCGTTGCCAACAATTGTTAAAAATTGATACCACCTTTACTGCTATTAATCATACTAACTCCAAGTATCAATGAATTGCATGAGTAATAAAAAAAAAAAGATAAGGTTGATGCTTCGTCTAAAACTCATATCCGTAACAAAAGTTTCACATTTGTGTGGGTGGGTCGTGTATTTTTTTTCACTCGTTGTTATTCTTTCCCAGTTTTATCGCAAGAAGATGACGGATAACATGACGTTGGGAATTTAAAAGTCTCAGTGTGAACTCAAGCTCATGCTCCCAGAGTTTGATTGTCTTTGATTAATTACTCGCTCTTGATGTTTTCTCGATGAGCATCCAAGAATGAAACAAGGCTTGTGTTTAATCAAGATAATGCGATCATATCCGTTTGAGAATTAAGAGAGATTTTACATTGACTCAATATTAAACATACAGAGTCGAAGAAGAGGAAAAAAAATAAAAGGAGAATTACGTGAAAACTATCTGATGGTGACATAGGTGTATATGTATGTTGGTATAATGTGGAATCGAGAGAGGACTAGGGTATTACGCCACCCAACGACGCTACATTTATGCTTGGCAAGCAAACTCGATCGAGATAAATCGTATCGAAGTAAATATATGGCGAGGTGGGGCTCCATACTCAAGTGGTCGCTCGTAAGACGAGTAGCAATAGGCAACGTGGTCATATCACGCCTGAAGCACACCGCAAGATATGATCTCTTTAGATGTTCGCCTTCCATGCGCCTTGTATTTCTGAACTCGATCGTGATTTTCTTCAGAGTCTATTCAAAGCTATCACCATTCGCTTTGAGCTATGACACTGTGTAAATTTCTTTATTTCAAGAGGAATCGATTTTTCAGTCTTCAGAACATTCATTTAAACAATTACTCTGATTAAAAAACTATTTATTAATACTTTTTGTTTATTTAAAAAAATATGTAAACATTTTTAATTAAGTAATTAGAAATTGAGTCTCCAATTATTTTTAACTAATTTATCTAGTTTTTACAATTCACTTATTTCCAGTCCAAGTCACTTAGTTATTATTCTTTGTTGATAAGAAATAATAGTTATTGCTCAGAAATATCATTGAAAAATTGATTGAGATAAGAAATATCGTCATAGTTATGTTGGGCAATTAAGTAAGACAATAGAGTCTATGAAGATATTGATATAGACTGAATATATCAGGATTAATCCTCTCTTTTATTTTTCCTGGCTGAGATTAATAACTCTATTCGGATCTTCTTCGTCTTTTCTCGATCCACTTCGGTCTCCTACCTCATTCACAATTAGGTCACTGACCCATCGACTTTGGTCTATTGTTCGTTTTTAGTTCGAGAAGATGTCATTCGAGTGGGGATAGAAATCGCATGTTTCCGGCTGTCTTCGTGTGCTGAACTTGACCTATATTTGTAAGTAGGTCACTGGCCTGTCAGCTGATGCCTATTTCTATTTTTTTGGGATAGGTGTCGCTAGGATATATAGCTAAAATTCGCAAAAAATACAGCAATATTTGTCATTATTTTTATTACGTGATTATTTAAGAAATAATTCGCTTAAAATGTTATTTTTAAGTCAATGAATGAATAAATAAATAATAAATAAACAATTATTTATTCACTAAAAAAAAATTATCAAGTGTAATGCACAATATTATGACAGCATGAAATGAATACATTTATTTAATTGTCATAAATAATTGAATTGATTATTTAATAAAAAATACAAATTAATTAATAGATAAATTATTTAAACAAATAATTAATTACAAAAAAAAAAATAACAGAAAAAATACTTTTATGCATATCTCAAACACTTTGACAATGATGTTGATGTCTGTTTATGAGTCATGTATTAATACCACATGTCCTACAAAATATTTCTTTTGCAAAAAAATCTAAGTAAACGTAAAGAGATGCAATTTTTTCAGTGAAAATAAATATAAATTTTGAAAAGCCGTATTCATATTTAATATGACACTGATTACTATCTACCTCTATGAAGACAGTATTAATAATTGCACAACGTATAACATTAATCATTGATCCAACCATATATTAGATATGATAATTATATTTATATAAAAAAGAAATTTAATGAGGAAGAGGTGAAAAGAGCAATAGGTCTAAGTAAATGTTGTTCAGTGCAATATAGTAAATTTGTTTATGGTACTACACTGACTTGAAACATTTTCTTAGGCTTGGTCATTAATTAGAGTAACGAGTTTCTTTGCTGTTAAATTATTGTATCTGGTCACATGGTGGAGGTGAGTGTCGCTGAGAGTGATTAGTCCATTTGTCAGCTGACATTTATTGATCCATAAACAATTATTTGGCTTTTTCTAAACACTAAAATGGTTTTCTGCAACATTAATAATTAATTTGCTAATAAGGAAATGAAATTTGAAGATAAAGATGGGCCCATTAGGTATGGGAATTAAAGAGAAGTACGATATAAACTATCACGAGTTTTTCTTGAGATTGATAAATGTTTATTATCACGCACACATGTTGTGAACAATTAAGATTATATACTAATCGTACGCGTTGAGGAGTATGTACATCTATCCACCAAGTGAAATGATCCTAAGCCGCTGCACGAGGGCGTGAGAAGTGCTTTAGCCCTGTGACCTTCGTGGCCCAGGTATATCTTGCACTTCTCTTCTTTACCTCTTCTCCAGTCATCTTGGCTCTTTTCTTTACTCTCTTCTTCTGCTGTAATCTCGTCTACATCCAAGGCGTCTCCCACTTCTCGTATTGGAGTCGAAGGTCGTGGTGTCCGATTAAATTTTGACAAGCTCAACGTTGTCGACTC